GGGAGGGGGAATTTGAAGAAAGGAAGAAAAGGAAGAGAAGAGGAAGCTGCAGTGGGAGACTATGAGTCCACATGCAAGAAAGTGGAAATTTTTGTAAGAAAAAGTGGAGAAAAAAACGAGTGAAATTTATGGTCACATTTATTATTTTTTGCATTTGTAGCCCCCAACTTATCCTTATTTATTGTTCTCCTTTCCACCAGCCCCATTTAATTTGTGTAGAATTTATGTTACTAACTACACTCAAACCTTTCTATAACAGTCTCGTTTGTTCTATATATCTTTAAATGTTATAGCGAATTACTGTTATAAAAAATATATATTATAACAGAATATGAAATTAGTTATAGAGAGATCTTAATGTACTGAAATTAGTTATAGAGAGATCTTAGTGTACTGCTAAAAACACTTTTCCTTTGTTTTCAAATCTTTAATGCCATTTTTTGAAAAGTGGAAAATCATTTACTTTGTTGTTTTCCTTTTTTATACTACATTTGTCAAATGAGTCAAGGAGAAGAAAACTTATTTTGTCAAGTGAAACAACTGGTCCAATATCATCAAGTTTGTATTTTAATGTTTTGACAATAATCTTGAAACGAGCTCTCATTACTCAAAATAGCAGAAAAAACAGCATATACACTTCTTAGTAACCATGCATTGTATTAAAGGAAGGATATCTTTGCTTGATGGGAAGGAGAGCCTAAAGTAACTGTACACTTTTTTGTGTGACTTATAGGTTACGGGTTAGAAATGTGGAGGCAGTCATCAATAATTATATTAAGGTAGACTATCTAGATCACACCTGACACCCCTCTGAGTATGACTCATCTCCGAACCCTATGTGAACGCGAGATACTTTATGTAGACTATTTTTTTTTTTTTAATCTTTGTTTTATGGAAGACATTTTAAGTTTTGAATTCAAAATTGACTCTATAACAAAATGACTCTACAACGTCAAATCATGTAAGGCATTTTAATAGTTTTGAATTCGAAATTGACTCTATAACAAATTATAGTTGACGGATGCCTTATTAAGTCATCAAATAGGGCAGACGTAGATTTAAGATATAAAGTTCATAAATTTTTACAGTGTACTTAAGTTAATATATAGCGAGTTTGCTGACAAATATTTATAAATATTTAATAAATTTCTTTATATATGGTGATAGTTGAGTATTTATTTCAAAGTTGAGATTGATTTTACGAGTGATGTTGTGCCATTTCTATTGATTTTATGGTGAGGCTGAGAGTAAAAGCACGAAGGGTGATGCCGTGCATTTTTTCTTTACTGTATTCACTATTCCTGTTGATCCATAGTATATTGACCGTTCCAATTATCATTCTGTTGTAGTTCTTTATCTCGTATTTTCCCTCAGCATGTTTCCCCCTCCCGATATTACCTGTCTAGCTTTCATTGCTATTATTTGTATATACACTGTTAAATTGTACAGGTTGATTTATGGGTGTCTTGTCTTATCCTCGTCACTACTTCGTCGAGGTTAGGGTCGACACTTACTAGTACATGGGGTCGGTTGTACTGATACTACACTCTGTACTTTCTGTGTAGATTTTGGTACCGGATCGGGTTGATCGAGATTTTAGCTGTTGGACCCGCTATCCGGAGACTCAAGGTAGATCTGTCGGCGTTCACAGACCTTGAACTCCCCGTCTATCTTTTCTGTTTTATTGTTTCTTTCATTCAAATAGTTGTATTTCTCTTAGACTATTATTTGTAGTAAATTCTAGAATTCTCGTGAATTGTGACTCCAGATCCGGGTAGTAGTAGTTAATACAATCTTGATGTTATTCCGCATTCACTATATTTCATCTTAGCTAAATTTGTCATTAATTACTGAATGGAATAAGGATTGGTTTAATGATTCTCTAATATTGGCTTGCCTAGAAAGTGAAATGTCAGGCGCCATGACTATCCCGATGGTGGAAATTCCGGGTCGTGACATAGTACGACCAAAAAGTCCATGGTAATGTGCTCCCACTTCCACTCCGGTATAACCAACCTCTGAATCAAACCACCCGGTTTCTGGTGTTCATACTTCACCAGCTGGTAATTCAAACACCGTGAAGCATGCCCAAATGTCCTTTTTCATTCTCCACAAACTATGATCCTCTTGGAGAATCAACCCCCTCAAACCATCTATATTTGGTTCACAAATCCGACCTTGAAGCTGCATAACACCATCATCTCGAATCACAACCTTCTTCGTACAACCTCACTGCACCATACCCTTAAACACCAACAAATGAGGATCATCAAATTGATGAGCCTTGATGCACTCCTATAAGGATGACTGCCCCACAACACAAGAAAAAACTCTACTAGGCTTAGAAATATTCAATTTCACAAAATTGTTAGCCAAAACCTGAACATCCATAGCCAATGGCCTCTTCTCAGTTGGAATAAATGCCAAACTACCCATACTCTCCGCCTTTCTACTCAAGGTATCAGCTACCACATTTTCCTTCCTCTGATAATACAGGATAGTGATAACATAGTTTTTCAACAACTCCAACCACCTCCGCTGCTTCAAATATAAATCTTTTTGCTTAGACAAGTGTTGGAGACTGTGATGACCAGTGTAGACCTCACATGACACGCCATATAAATAGTGCCTCCAAATCTTGGGTACTACATTTTTTTTGTTGGTCCAAAATTCACATGAACATGTATGTTATATGCTAAATTCGCATCTGGTAATGAGTATCAAAAAATCACTTCTACTGCTCAATACGTATCTTGAATATTAAACCTTAAGTAAAAAAATAAAAATAAAAATTGAGGTTTGTACTATGATTAAATTTTGTCATGTTTATATTTCTTTTTTTTTTTTTTGGAGTACTAATAGGATTTATATTACTTACTAAATAGAGTTTAACATATTACATGCCATATTGTTTGTAGAAGTAGCACTGGGTGTAGATATCCCCAAGGAGTACTTTTACTTGTAATATTTTGATTGCCTAAGGTTCTAAGCATATGATTGTCATGTTTATATGTCATTAAGCTGGGAAACTGTTTCATAGTTTTTCCCATTCTTAATCATGTTATTCTAGATTAATTTATAGTTATTTCCTATTGATTCTAATCCTTAAAATTTTGTATTATCAATATAATTTAACTTGTGATAAGTAAATTATTACCTTTGTTAGGTTACTAATTAATAATTATAATTACTTTTTAAATAATTTATATATTTAAATATGTTTTACACTACTATAAAGAACTTGAAATGCAAAAAATAAAGAATGATTTGAATTGAGAGACTAAAAAAGGAAAAACAAAGAAGTAGAAGGGGCAAGAAATGCAATAGATAGGTGTAGACAGATTTGTCTCAATCATTATAGACGACCACGCGGAGAAAACAGTGTATTACTGTTTTGACCTTCGGGTCAAATCATGTGGACCCATTTACGACAAAACATGACCCACCCACTCAATCTGGTTTGACCCGATTCCTCCTTTTTAGCTGCTCACTTTACCTGTCTTCTTTTTTCCCTTTCTTTTCAATTATCTTTATTTGTTTTTTTAACTTTTATGTAGAAAGGAATCTTCTCAACTTATAGGGACTAACAATATATAAATTTCTGAGCTCGAGAAAATTTATCTATTTACTCCATTTAATAATTAAATGAGCGTCATATACTCCAACTGACTGTTTGTTTGGCTAAGTGTTGCTTTTGTATATATCACTTTAAAAAAAATTATGTATGTCTTGGGAATACACACAAGTTTTACTACTTTGATTCTAAGATAACCAATGCCCGTTTAGCAATTTTCTGACTGTTGTTATGGAATTAATAGTTCTCCGATTTTAACCGGAAATTTTGGGTTAGAACTTTGAAAAAAAATTAATAAAAAATATTTTTCTTTTTAACGGTCTTTTCGTAACACAAATGAAAATTATTCGGAACCCAATCATACGAGTACCGGACATCGGACAAGAAATCAGGAATAAAAATAGTTCTTCACTCTATATGTAACATATTAGAAGAAAAATAAGTAAATGAAGGAAACAGATGAAAACAAATTACATACTGTGTTGTTTACTAAAAGTATTAGAAATAAATAAATGAGCTACAGAAACGATATTGTTTTTCAAGGGGTATAGGACATTACTTTGAACCCCATGAGAATTTAAAGAAAAGAAAAAAAGGCTGGCAAAAGAATGTTTTATATTTCCAACTGATGGACTATTCTTCCAACCATGTATTAGCGGTCCACGCACGAAGAATTATATTCAACTATATTGTATTATTTGTTACTAATGTGATTATGAATTGAATTTAAAATTTTAATTTGACTACTTATTATATTAAAAGTAAAAAAAATATTAAAATACTGCCGAGACATTAAATCAATAAAAAGAATATTGGATTTGAATTTATATTGTTAAATAAAATGAAATCTTCAAACGTGTTTGTATAGATTAAGAGAGATATAGTAGGATTTAAAGTATAAGTCGAATTACCAAGTAATCCATTCACCGTGTTATCAAGGAAACGATTTTCTATGCCCACTTAAATAGGAAAAAAAAATGACTCTACAAAGATAAATATTTAATGTGTTATTTTTATTAATCTCCAATGAAAAAGTCATATAATTAAAATGACACCTTGTAATGGACTATAAAACCAAATATTTTGTATAAGATGCAATTGTTCATCAGTCGTTTTCTTGTTAATTGTTATATACTTCATTGTTAAATATAACAAGAGTAGAAGGAACTAAGATTATGATTATATCACTTAAATTAACCGAATAAGTGACTAGCTTAGGAGGAATATTATA